TCCTACTCTGCTGCTCTCTACTGGTGGTGTTAAGAATGGTGAGAGAGAAAAGTTTCATACTGAAAATTATTTATGAAATCCATTTGCCTTCTCAGTAGCCCTTTTCAGCAGCAGCAGTTGCTCCTAAACTGCAGCAGGGGAGTATTTTCCTGTGTCCTATGCAGCAGTGTATTCAAATCACTGCTAAAAATGGGGCTGACCTTATGCTCACTGAAAAGAGAATGTGGTTCCTGGGCAGCTTTCTGCACTGTCCCATCTCCAGAAGAGCAGATGGATTGGGTTTAGGTCAAAAGTCCTTCTCCCTTCACACCAACCAGCCAGCTCAGAAGGGGAAGTACCTGGGAGCAGCCAGGCACGGGGCTGGATGCAGAGTCTGCAGATCACACACGGAGTCCAAGCCCTCCCTGCCTCTCTGCTGTGGGATGTGATGGAAGAGTCAGCAATCTGCAGGTGGTCTCTACAGTTTAGGCTCTGGTCAAGTTTTGTTGTCTGTCAGATCAGGTCTTACTTTGTTTTCTGTGAAAAACAGTGTGGTCATATGTTACCAAATTGATTGCTCCACAATTCAACAGAACCCTTTGGGTTTATTTTAAGTTTAAAATGCTGTTGTGGATCATTTTTCATCTCTTGCTGAGTCCAGCAAGAGTATATTTTTGGCATGCACAGTGTTAACAGTTCACTTCCATTATTTTTTTGTGCAAATCATCCATTGATTTCAATAAAGTTTACAATAAAGTTAAATGTTTGTAATTTATAAACAATTACAAATTTTTGAACTACAAGGCTGACATAGATACCTAATATGCTAAATTACTCTTGTTCACTATGGGTTTTTCCCAAACTAAAGTATACCCAGGACAAGTATAAATGAACTTCCTTCTGGCATACTGTCTCAATTTCTTCAAGGAAAAAAGTTATGGTGTCATTGGGAATTATTAATGTTATCCCTGACTACTGAGTATCAAGGATGATTTACATAATCCTTGGGTGACAGGATAAAAATGAAGTAGAACCCACTTTCTTGGTGTGATTTATTTTAGAATATCCAAGTTTCTTGTATTGTGTTCATGAATTGTGGCTTAAGATTTGAATTTTTATATAATTGCCTACAGATGTATTGGGTTACTTCTTGAAATAGTACTTCTAATGGTTTCTCTGTAGCCTACCAACAGTGATCATGGAAGTAATACACTAAGAAGTTAGAACACCTCAAAATACCAGAAAATAACTAGCATTTAGTAAATATTAGGTACTGAAGGCACATGTGGTTTGTGCAGGACTTAATGTCCATACCCCAAATGGGCTGAGTCCTGGCCTAGTCTCCCAGAGATAGGGAGGTGCTTGTGCACTTCTGACTTCATGGATATGATTCTAGGGAGACAAGAATGTGGGAGGTCTGGGGTACAGACTTGGTGCTGAAAGGCAGTGAATTGATTTAAGATCCAGCTGTGATGTATTCAGTTACATTTCTGCATTCAAACAGTAAAATAAAAAGGGTGAAGAGAAGGATGATGACTGGAAGGGCACTGTGTCTGTTTGACCTAGTAAGTTACTTAAATTCTGCAGATCTCCACTGCTGCAGTAGATTTCCTGTTACACTTTGTGTGGGATCAAGAACTCAGGTTACCTTTGGTAGATTTTGTCTCTATATTTAGCAAGACTTTTGCCCTTGCAGACTACAGGAAACCTGCAGTAGAAATTTTCAGCTCATGTTTTTTTTCCCTTTAGTAGTATCACAGAAGAAGCTTGTCATAACTCAGATTTTTCCCACCTGCTTTCTTTTTGAAATGCTGCATGCAAGCAGTCAGAATTACTCGTCATGTAAAGTAAACCAGTTCTTGGGGTGTGGGGTGTAACCAGTACCTTCCTCCTGGGTTCAGCTGTGGTAGGTGCTGCCTGGCAGCTCTGATGGGCAGCACTGGGGGCTGTGGGCATCCCACATCCCACAAAACTGGCAAGTGATTGTCCCTCCGATTATTTTGATTTGTGATTTTCGGAGTAGGAACTGACCTCGGGTCTTCAAGAAGGCACTTCTTTGATTCTGCAGAAAACTACTGCCATTAGGCCTTGGGTCCCCACCAGTCTTTGAAGATTCCAGAAGTCTGATTCCTTTGGCTCCTGAAAATCTTTATGCAACTAAACACCAACAGTACTGGTGCTACTATTATCTCCTGCCTCCCAATATGTTGGATTTGTCTCCTTGGCTTTCTACAATGATTTGGATTTGTAAAGCACAAAATTCCCCAGGTGGAATTCAGTTCTATACCTCTATTTTAAAGTTAGTGGTGGGAAAGAAACAGTTGTTTAACTTTTATTTAATTTAGTTGTTTATTATTTATTTACACATGAATTTACAAGGAGATAGTACTCTTCTATACTTGACTATACTTGAGTCTTTAGTGAGGTTAGTGGAGTAGCTGGAAAAGCTGGGATAAGCCATATGCTGTTTCCTGTTTTTAACCTCAATTTGTAGCAGCTTGAAGAATTCAGCAGGTGTGTCATACCAAAATAAATATGCAGAAACTGTGTGTAGTAGCACTAAGCAGTGCTTTTGCTAACAGTAACATTAAAAGCACTGATATTAAACTGAAAAAGTACAGAATTATTTTTTAAATGCTGCTACTGCAGAATAGTCAACTGATGCCTTCTTGTTGAGACAAAAACTCATTTTTATGTGTTTATGTGTTTGGTGGGTTCAACCTCTTTCTACCCTACTTCTATCCTTAGCCAGGTCTAAGGACAACAGGGCAGGGCATTAGCATTGCTACAGCTAATTGCAAGGGCTCTTCCATGCAGAAAGTGTTGGAGGGAGATGGAGATGTAGTTGGGTGCCCCACACAGCTGTGATTTCTGTGGAGTAATAGACTCTCACAGAAGTGAGAAGTGGGCTTGAATGTCCACCATGACTGTGAACACCAATCTGTGTAAGTATTCTGGTGGAATGCATCCAAGGGGGTTTAGAAAGAACTGCACTGCCCAGGAAAAGCTTCCCTTTTGTAATACCACTGAAAATCTGAGCAGAGAGACAATGGGAGTTTCACTCCCACTTTCACCTCCACCACGTCAGCATTTGAGGTGGGGCTCTGTGTGTGTGTGAATTAAAACTGAACAGCCTCCTACCCCCTCCAGTTCAGATGTAACCATGGAGTTGACTAAACAAGAGCAAGTGAGCAGAAAGCTGGAGGTTAGAGATAGGAAATCTGTCTGAATATATGTTAGGATTTTACCCAGTAAATGCTGGTGGAGTGCAGGAATGGGTTTGCAACGCAAGGGAGGTGTGGAATTACTCCACCCAATTAGGTGCTTGCACCCCATATCAACCAGAAACAAGATTTAATTCATGAAACACATAGCAGCTGAGAAGCCCTAAGTTATGTCCAGGTGTTGGAAAGATAAATTACTTGTTGGCAGAATTGCCTTGTTAAGCTTCAATGATCTCATACCTAGGGGGAGATTAACAAAGCTTGGGAAGAAGGATGTACCACTGATAGTAGGTAGACACAAAGAATGCAGAATTTTAGGGCCACAAGGAGATTTGGCAGAACTCCCAAGATAAGGGAGAAACTAATAAAGCCAACTCAGCAACTGTGCTGAAACTGACTGACTGGCTTAAAAGAATTCCAGCAGGGAGAAATCATGATAGACTGACTCATAGCCCACCATGTCCAAAGAAGATGAAGACTGAGGGTGCAGACTAATTAGCATAAGAAACGAGAGAATCATTATGCAAAAGAAGATAGAATACTAATTAATAAAAGAACTATGTCCCTTGTAGCCCATGAACATTAATGCCTATGTTTGCTAATGTTGAGGGATACATCTGGTGCAGGCAGCTGTGTTTGCACGCTGAATTGGAGATGCAGGGTGTGAGCCCAGAGAGAGACAAGAGGCCATGAACTGCCAACCCTGTGATTAACAAAGAGCACAAAGCCCAGTGAAACCAGCCCAGGTGAGTGGACACTGGAGACACAGCAGAGGCAGACAATTTGGGTAACAAGAGATGAAGATGGATGATGCCAGCAAGGTGAATTGACACGCAGAGGGTGGCAGGAGCTGACTGGAGAGGAAGAGCTACACTTGTACTTGGGTAGACAGTGAGGGCATAAAACTCCCCGTTGTTCCTTTTTTGAGGGTCCCTCCTTTGGAGGCATTGCTACAAACTGTTTCTGTGTAACTGCACCATGAATAAGTGGCTTTTTGGAATGAGATATCTGAGACTCTTCCATGGGAAACCTGGGGTGGAACCAGCAAGGTAACCTGGTCTGACTGTGAGTGGAATTTTTGAGGCATCAACTGCAGCCCTGGAACCACCCACTGTGAAGGGCTTCGGTCTCAGCTGTGGAAGTCTGGCACTGGGAGTGTGACTGCCAGAGAGGCTCAAGAATGGTCAGACAGGGGAGTTTCCTTAACACTAGAATGTATAAAGCATAAACAGTTTTGAGAGTTGGTGTGTTTGATTTGTGCAGTACCACTGAGCACCCAGGCTTGTGGAACTGGAATAAATAATCAGTGTTTCTCTTGAGTGTGTAATTAGTTGCTTGTTGCACACTGGGAAATGGGATTTTTTTCTGGCCAAACACATTTACTCTCCTAATAAATGAACACTAAATAATGCTAATAAACTAAATAGTGGCATGGAACAGATTCCGGAGGAGCTGGGGTATATCCAGACTGTGAGCAGTCAATCTCCGGAGCTGACCAAGGCTCCCAGAAAAGTTGTAAGAGGGGCACAGGCTATGTCTCCCTCCATGCTGCAACCCAGCCTGGGCGACCCTGACTGGCTTTAATTATGTAGGTATTTGCAAGGGAACAGGGTGCCAGACACCCACTGGCCAAAGCATCTGCGGAGGAAACTCTGCCAGCCTGCCCCTCGCCGGCTGTCGGACGGTGACACAGATTCTTCATGTGGCAGGAAGGGCAGGAATTTTAGAGACACTCTGAAAACCACACAGCCACTCTCGGGCAGCACAGGCATGGGGACAGACCCGCTGGGAGATGCGGCAGCAGCACAACCAGGGCGCACCTGCGCTCCCCACCGGGACCTTCCTGCAGGCACCCGGCTCTGAAATACTTGCACAGGTATCTGAACACCGGCTCTGCAACATCTGTCCAGCTGTGCTCACAGCCACCTGTGGCCCCACCAAGTGCTGAATGCAGCGCTGCTCTTTTGGGAGCTGCACTTTGAACAGCAAGAATGCAGACAAACTATTTCTAGGAATGGTGCAGTGCGGACCTTTGTGTTTTGAGTTGTCACTCCCTGCTGTTTTCCAGTTGCGAGGGAGGATCTGAGGGGAAGGAATGACAGGTTTCTTTCTCAGGAATGTTTTGAATTTTTTCTTTTTGTCTGGAAAATTAAGTTTAATCCAGCATCCCCCTTGCTCCCCAGCCTCTTTGGGGGATGACTCCTGCTGAGCAGTAGTGAGTTTACAAAGAAGCAAATGCATCCAACCATTTTTGGACAGGGCTTCAGAACGTGCAGCAGGACTGTTGCTGGTCTACGACAGGGAGGGCAGGAAGAGTGCTGTGAACTCGAGCCCAGGATCACATTAGCAGCATTTCTGCTAATCCCGAAGGGAAAAGTGATTACAGCAGAGCAAAAGCTTCCCATACAGGCACACTGGTGTTTTGATGCAGGCAATGCCGGTCTCCTGAGGGTCACTGGGTGTAGGGTCCCAGCTGCAGCATCCCCGCCGGGCAGGGTTAACACCAGCACACCGTGACCAGGCAGGCAGGAGCAGACAGCCACCCGTGGGGACAGGGGGAGACAGGCTCCAGCCCTGAGCTCCTTGCAGGAGATGATGTCACTGAGATCTGCCTGTTTCCAATCTCCAGCTGCTGGTAGGAGGCCCCATTACCAACTGTCTGAGCATTTCAGGCTGTTGGAAAATGTACAAAGAGGGCTGTGAATTTGGGCAGATCAGCATGAGAGCAGTCTTTTAAAATAATAGACTGAAAGCCCGATGATTGCTAAAATACCTGTGTTAAACTCATCAATTAAGAGTCTGTCAAGGCAGCCAAAGGTTTGTAAATACCTACAAAGCATTGCCATAGAATGCCCCAGGGACTACGGGCACTACCACAAAACAGAACCTCCTGAAGCCACCTGTAGGATTGGGGGACTGGCAAGGCTAAAAGCACAAACTTTTGCTGCTTGTGCAAAGGCGAAAAATAGTCATCAGAGGAGACACATGTTAGTGACAGTCCGTGCAGGATGCCACCATTGTGTCTGATGCGACAGAGGCTGTCATTTCTCCTAGAAGATTTTTTGTCACATGGTACCGAAGCCTGGGGAATGCAACTAAGAGTTTTGGGCAAAGCACATGACTTTCTCACCAGCATACTTGGCTGGTAGATCTGTTCTGTAGTTAAAAAACTTTTAACTCAGGCTTCCTCAAATTAGGAGACACTTACTAAATCACTGTTTTTTATTCAGCTGCAATTTACCCCTGTAATTCTAAGACAGGGGTTTTAAGGAAATTACTGTTTAGGAGAATGAATTTGTTACTGCCCTGAGAAGAACACAGATATAAAACCAGAACAAAATACGGTTCTAGTCTGTGTTTAGTGTCTCTGTTAATTTATGTTCAAAAGGATCATGAAGGATCCAAAGAGAGGAGGAGGCGGGGATGAAGAAAAGCATTTGAAACTTCACTTCTATGAAATGCTCTGCTGAGAACTGGTGAGCACCCACAAGCACACATAGTGACCCATGGCTGCAGAACCAAGTGATGCAACAGATGAAAGTTTCAGGGTACTCTAACTCTTATACTGTCCTTTGACATTAAATTCAGTACTTTCAGTATCCTCTGTGGCAGACAAAACCCAGTTAATAGATGATTTAGATCACTGAACTGTCCTAAAAGTCTCGCATCAATTTTTATTTGACTGAAAAAAATTGCTGTGTTACAGCTGTGCCTGCAAAACATGTGCTGGGCTACATCACATCTGCTTGCCTATGCTACTCTGAAACCTCCACACCTGACTCCCCCAGAGCTTCTCCACACATTACTCAACATGCACAGCTGCTCTGCAGCCTGGATCCCAAGCAGCAGACTGAAGCCCCTGACCCTCCAGACAGCCAAAGGGAGCTGCCTCTGCCCAAGGACCTGCCCTGCACTGGGAGGCCTGACCACACCACCTGAGGCAGCAATTCTCCCCTGCAGCACTTGGGCCTCTGCCACATCTAAGAGCCTCTGCCCTCTGTGTCTGCCTCTTGCTCAGATGAGGCTGGCATGGGCGTGAGGAAAGCCTCAGGATGCTTTGGTGGGGCTGACCCAAGTAAGAGCCTCCCTGGGGAAGGTCAGACAGGCAAAGGGCACATGAACCCCCTGTTCTAGTACCATGAGCCAGCTCTTCCCCTACATCCCTTGTGATTCCCCAGCCTCTTGGCTTACCCTCCCCACTTACTGGCTGGTACCCCCACTGCCAGACCCCTCCAGAGAGCAGATTTATGGTATAAGCACAACATACATACTGTAGCAGTAACTTATGTCACTCTGAAGTACCCAGCAGTGAAATCACATGCCACTACCTGTTTCCCCCCAGCTAGCTACTCTCAGGCAATCTCATGGAACATGAATTGGGCTTTAACAGCTCTGTATAGTGAAATGGCACCTGCCAAGGGATTTCTTGCCAGCTTTTCCACTGGCCCTTTCTTGGCTGCTTCTCCCAGGGCCCTGTGTGTGGTCTGCTGCAGCACAGAGCAGCATGGTCTTTCCTGGGCTTTTGCTGTCTTATGCTGACATGAAGCACATCACATCACCATGGAGCTGACCTGAGGATAGGTGGGAAGGCAATCAGAAGGCTATTCTGCCATCCCTGAGCCCCCTGCTCAGCCAGCACAGGGCAAGATTGGCCCTCTCCCTGTGCTTCTACCCCACTATCTGCTCCAGAAGGAAGTCTGCTATGCCACCTGCCCAGAAACCCAGACTCATCTCAGAGGATAATGACCCCTGTGCTCAGGTGTTAGTTATGCACCACTACATGCTGCTGCAGCCAAAAGATCTGTCCAGCAAGGATACATGGCACACTGCAAAAAGTTCTCCTCTCATTGCTGCTGAAATCTTCTGGGTTTTCATCCTCCACAATCTTCTCATGTCAATTTGGGCTGGCATAAGAAGGGCCCTGTGAGAGCTAGATGATAAATAACCGAGGCAACACCTGGTTACAGGAACTTGCCCTTAGTTTACAGCAAGAGAAAGGGACAAAAAACCAAAAAAACCCCAAAGAACCAAAACCGAAACAACAAAAAACCAAAAAAGGTGAACTTAATGCAGATCTAGGATGTTGTTTCCTCAAAAATTCCTTCTGAAGCCTGCTACCACTATTGTCACCATTCCCTGCTGTGACAGGACATAGGGTGGTTGAGAAGAGCCAGTATATTCAAGCTCTCTGACCAAATTATACCTGTTGTGTGCAGACTATAATGAGCAAGTTGGGCAAGAGGAGTTTATTCCCAGTACTCATAGATTTAATGGAGACAGGGAAAGGAATTCACTATAATAACGCTGTCCATGCTGTTATGCCTGACCATGCAGGAGGCCAGACACAGGTGTGGATGTTTCAGAGTAGCAGCTTAGGCAGATTAGCCCACAGGCCCAGACCCTGCATGTCAGCTTGTCCATCTTCAAAGGAAACCTGGTGCTGGGCAGTTTACAGAAATTTGCTACAAGAGGCTAAAGAGCCTTGATGTGATCACAGGAGATGCAATTGCTTCAGGCAAGAAGATACTAGCAAATTAGCCACTGATGGAACATTTTCTCAGATAAAACTGAGAAGAGATGATGATAAAAGGCAATGGGGCTGTGTAGTTTAAAAGGCAGACATGTCCACATATCCATATGCATACACACTTACATATATTCCCATTGTAGTTCTGTGTATGACAGAGAACCACCAGTTTTGAAGAATTGTGGGACAGCATCAATCTGTGCTACAGCTCTACGGTATTTTAAACTTTGCTGGAATAATTCCAGTGGCAAATGGAAAACCTGTATGACACCTAGCAGGATGTTCATGTGAGAAACGGCTACGAACTCATCAATGACATAGAAGGCAACATCTGCAAAACTCACTGCAGGGGGTTTGGACTGGATTTATTCCACACAACAGATAAAGATAGTAAATAATGAAGATGCAATTTAAGGGAGGAAAATCTCATTCTTGTGGCATCCATTTAAACAGGAGATATAGAACACATCTGTACTATGTTAGAACAGTGTAATGAGATTGCTCTCAATACAAAAAGTAAATGAAGACAAAAATGAAAAAAAAATTGGAAATAGTTTATTTGCTGCATGAAGAAACCTTGTAAATTACATATAAAGGAACTTGTTATGCTGTAGTATATAATTTCCAATATTCCACAAAGATAATTGTAATAAATATACAAACCAAACCAAAGTAGAAGACTAAATCCATCAGGCAACCTACAAAATGGTTCATCAAGTTTTATACTTGCAGCATTAGCATGCTTAAAATTTTGTTCTTTTTGAAGTGATGCAGCAAAATTTTTTTTCACATTTCTTTGGAGCATTTTCAAAGCTGTCTAACTATAAAATACTGTTCAAAATTAGACATTAGTTAAACCACTCAAGAAAAGTAACACCAAGGTCTAACTGATGCAAAGGTGGTGTTTTTCTTTTTGCTTTTAAAATCCATTTAGCATTGCCAGAATTAGGAATTATCTGATATAAGTGCACTATGAGTCCAGTCAGCCTGAGGCACTGCTGACTCCTGTCATATTATGACTCTATATAAACTTCATAGGTTATATAGCTCTTAAAGATTTCTCTATTAATAGAGACATATCCCCATAGAATTAAAAAAAAACACAATACCATATTGAAGCCGCAAGCTTGTTAAAATGGTTGTACCCTCAAGTGCAGTGTGTGCTTAAAACATTTTCCCATAGTTTCATTCTATTCCACATCAGGCATTTTTATTTGACTTTAAATGTAGAAGTGCTGATAAAGGCTTTATTGATGCCCCTAGCCTCTAGAAACAACATACAAAAATTTTTGACACCTCCTGCTGTTCCCTACCTATCATTTCTAAATTTTTTTGGAACAGCAGGCTGAATTTTAGAATTCACTGCTCTGGACCACACTGACAGACAGGTCTATTATTCCATACAAATTTCTTACAAACTGGAAACACTTCACTATACTTCACTATTACTGAAACTTGGGGGTATAAAAAGAAACTCTCTAAGACACAATTACCTAAAAATATTTGTTAATAAGCTTAATGCAAATATTATATAGAAAAAATGGTTTAGTTACAAAAAAATTCATTAGAGGGCCAGTAAAAATATACCAAAGAGAAGATCTTTACAAAAGTGAGGTTAGGAAGTATGAGGCATTGACATTCACTGTAAACATCCTGTGTTCACTAGAATCCTTTGTCTAAAAGTATATGACCTGGTTTTGTTCCTGAGCTTCATGGCCAACGCTTGCATAGACAGCTAAACCTATCATAAAGGGCTGTTTATAGAGACAGTTCTGTTTGTACATAACTTCAATAAACTAATGCTTTTACCTTTTGAAATAGTTTCATTCCACTACCAGGTAGTTAAGGAAACTATGAAGTATGGTATGGGTTTTGTGTACTCAGTGCATTGGGTGAATTGGGGCAGCTACATTTTAGTGTGTTTATCTTAAATAATATTACACTAGAAGAGTAGCTGTTTGACACTCTGGCTTAGCATAAATATCTACTCCTGCTCGCTGTTGCAACGTTCACTTCTGCTCTGCCAAAGACTGCATATGGCAAAATGTCAGCAATCTGAGTGCTGCAGCTTCAAACACACTCAGCAGCGAGATGCAGCTTATAATCAGTACAGAAGACCTCACAGAGAATTTCACCTTTACCCAGGCAACACCAGTGCTTTCCTCCAGGTTAACTTGCTGCTGTTGGAGGAAGCTGGAAAAGTACTCACAGGGTAAACACGACACGGAGTGGCCTATGTAAAAAGTCTGAAGAACATACTTGCATTTTGGGTATGAAAAGCAGGCATGTGTTTAGCTACTGCACATGGAAATGCACATGGAAGTGGTACAGACAGACAAATATATCCCCCTCAAAAATAGCACAACAACACAAAAGCAGCAAATTGCCAATTTGAAATCTTATGTTAAGGCAAATCTAGATAAAATAACCATAACAGGATTAATAAAAACAGGGAATTTTCCTTGGCTTTTTTGTTTACTTTTTCTGTGACTGGCTTTTACACATTGATAAAATTTGTTTAAGCACTTTCTGGACATCTTCATCCATTTGACCCTACACAAAGGGAGAGAGAAGAAAAGATGACTGAATTCATGCAGCTCTAGTCTTTAAGAATATTGGCAACTATTTATCAGGTATAGTAATTAGATCAATTTCCTAAGTGGAAGCAGTGTTAAATTTGTTCTTGAACTGTCATACCTTATGGGAGGGATGTCTTAGTGAAAACATGCAAAATTCTTACTAAATCTGAAGAATAAACATCTTCAGTTAAAATACTGAGTGACTGACAACATACAACTTTACCTGCACAGCATAGAGAAGGTGCATCCTGTAAACTGAGACAATTTCTTGGTGTTGTTTCTTTGTTTCCTAGAAAACAGTTAAGCAGAAAGTCACAGAGCATTCAGAACTATTGAACTGAGAATTAGATTCTGACTGGGGAAAACTCAAACCATAGTCTCATGTAATGCATTGAAGACCATCTCAGACAGTGTTGTGTCACAAGGCACTCTAAATTTGCTTGGAAGCATGTCCAGGAAAATGCTGTAGCTCTGCCTACCCCAGTAAAAAAAGAACTGGTGAAATCATCAGTTTCAAGAAGTGCTTAAGACTTAAGAGCTGCAAGGTGTGGAATGAGCACATACTCTATTTCTGAGCTTATGAGGAACCAGAACTGAGGAAAGCCAACAGTACTCTGACAAATGAAATCTCAACTGCAACTCAGCTCTTCCCCAAAGGCAGTGACCCTGATGCCTTAGGATTTTAGCTTTTACATTTTTCAAATCCTGTACTGCTTTAGGGTATAACTCTAAAACTCCATAGCCTGTCAGCTGCTGTTCTCCCATTTTATTCAGACATAATAATTCCTCTCTAGGCCTGTAACTCAAGAACACCCTACTGCCTCAGGCCCCAAAAAGTATAAACAAAACTGAATTGGGGGGGGAAACAAACTGGGGGTATATGACTTCACTATCTGAAGCTGTAACTGGAGGATTAAACCCTGATATGCAAATAGAACAAACTTGTAATTGTCTGAAAAGCTTCTGATCATCATCTATTTTGGGTGTAGGCCCTTTGGGGAAGATCTGTCTGCCTTTAATGTACCTGAAGGCCCTTCATTAAATATATCTCCTTTATTCTCTTAATTCTGTCTGGCCTCTGTTTTCAGGTGAGCCCGAAAAAGGCATCAACCCCTCTGCTAGAGCTGATGCCTCCCCAGATGAAAGGAGGTGCTTACGAAGGTCTTACTCTGTAAGACCCTGTCTTAGTGAAAGCCACCCAATCCTTTTCAATGATCCCAGACTGCCAGGACTCAGAAGCCACCTGTCCAAAGATACATGGAGCTGTTCGGAAAGCTAACCTACAAGAAGGAAAGAGTGCTTCCGTCCTGCTTTAAATGCTACCTGCTTTTCCAGTATGCTGCACACCTTTGCACTTTTTTACACTACTTTGATGGTCCTAATTAGTGGGAGATGAAGGGTCCTTTCAGACATGGAGCACTGGAATAAGAAAGTCTGGGCCTTCACACTGACAGGATGCTCTGCCTACCATTTCTCTCATCTGCAAGGGAATTTTTCTGGCATACTGAGCCCTCTTTTTTTCTGCTCAGAGAGGTAGTAAGCAGACACCACTTAGCATGCCAGCCTGGGAATTCTCCTTTCAGAGGCACTCCAGAGCCCTCAACAAAGGCCTCCAGTGGATAATACTTTCTTTTCATCCTCAACAGTGAATGAAGTGCTCCTTTGGGCAGGCAAGCTCTAGGAAATATCAATTATGACTCAACTGAGCTTAGATGGCTGGACCTTTCATGCACAAACAACAAAATTTTAAAAAATAGATCTGAAAGGCATTTAGAATTCCAGAGAATAAACTATGCTCCCCATGAACATTGCATTTGCTTGACTTCAAACCTCATGCTTTCTTCCAAAAAGCTTAAATACTCAAAACACAAAACTTCAGCTGATGAATGTTTTTGAAAATGCTCTGCACAGTGATCATACTTTTCCACAAATTAAGGTCTGAGCAGCAGGTTTCGTCACTCTATTTTACTACAAGAAATATGTTTTTCAACTGGTCTGAGAAAAAAATGTGGAAAACAAGCTTTCTTTAGTTATGCTCTTTCTAAAGTGCTATTCAGGACTTGAAAATTCCTACATGTTTCAGAGAAACAGAAATTACAAACTTTTTTGATGAAGATTCTTTTCCCTGTACTCACTGACTGTACTCTATTTTAAATAAGGAAGAGTGAAGACTAGTACATGTTTCCTTGGAGAACTGTAACTAATGTTAGGTTTACAAATTATCACACTTACAGTCAGTTGGTTTTGCAACTGCTTCACTTGTTGCTGTAATACTTCCAGCTGCTGGCTTTGTCTTTTGGGGGCACTGGTTGAGTAGGAGAGCTGAGAAAGGCTGTTCAATGCTTCTTTTAATTTGCTAATTTCCTTGGACATTTCATTGATCTAGGGAGGCAAAACACAGGTTTTCATTAGAAGATGCTATGAGTACTGTATTCCTGTGTGTCTTATCTTTGAGTTATTTGTAATTTAAATTTAAGAGGTAGGGAAAACTAAATAATAAATAAACTCTATGGATAAACAGAATGTCATGTAAGAAAAGGGTTACAATGCTCCTCTATTCCCCATCCTAATCCAGTCTATTCAAACTACACTCCTTGTTCTGAACATCAGCAATATTTAGCAAGAGCTGCATTTGCCACCTTTACCAATTTTGCTGTGAACCAAACACAGGCCAGCTATTCACAGCTACCAAAATGCATAATTCCTTATAAAGGAACTTGTAGTGAGGCATATGCTAGCTGCAGAGGAAAATTAGTGAAACCATGCTATGGTTGAGATGATGTAGTAATATCCCAACACTGAATTTTTGCCCCTTCCTGATTTTTTGTTTTCTTGTCTCCTCTGGAATATCCTCCTGCTTTAAATCTGACTTCTTTGACTTCAGCTGCCTGAGTGGTGCGAACCCAACCTACAGAGAACTTAAAAGAGGTAAATTGAAATATCACGTGTATCTCCACAGGGGAGGGAAACCAATTGCAAAGCCAAGCATACAGAAACCTTCTTTGTCTTTGATACCTGGATTTTCAGAGGGGCAAATGCATTCAGGAGTTACTTGAACCAACATTGTCTGTTAGGTCACTTTGCACTCGGACACGACACGCTTTGCACTCTGAACTCACATTACCCCTCCACTGTACTGAGACACTGACCTTTTTGTCTTTATCTTCTTCTATTTTTGATGAGTTTTTCATTTCAATAAGAGCTTCTTGAACTTGGTGGTACTTGTGCTGAAGATCAGTCACCTCCCGTTCCTTTGCTTCAAGCAGAGTATGCATACCTTCTTTTGCTTCTTTCAAGTGCAATATTTCATTTCTCAGTTTCATGGCATCTAAGGATATATTTTCCTTTTCTCGGATTACATCCTTCAGTTTGGACGACAGAGCGCTAACTTCACCCTCTAATGAGGACTGGAGCTTTTCATATGTGGCCTTGGGTACCATGGCGTCATTAATTGCAGCTTTTTCTTCCAGTAAAGTCTTTTCCAAGTTTCTTAATTCGCCTTCCTTGTTGCTAAGCAGTCGTTTGAGCTCATTTATTTCTTCCTCCATCTCCTTTATGGTATTTCTGAGTGCATTGATTACCTGACGGTGTTCAGCAATTGGCAAAG